ACTTCTTTTTTCCCTTTTTTTTGCCCCTGGCTAAACCACTAGAGATTCCTAACAATGCGTGCGTGAACCAAGTCAAGTCATATCAACCAACTACCAATTTGGCACGGAGTTACATCGCCAAAGATTCGTTTGGTTAAAGGCTGTGTTTATAACCGTTTAAAATCAAACGCACAGAACAATAAGTTTAGGCTAATTCTTAAAGGCAAACAATCCATGATATAACCTAAATCAAAGTACTTGAAAGGCATTGAAAGCGTAGGAAAATGATATAAATGATATTTATACCAAAAAAATGCTCTGAAATACAATGCTCTGCAAACAAGTGGCAAAGCAATAATTACCCATTCAATGATCTGCCAAGCAAGTTATGTTGAGCAAAATGTCGTCTTTATGGATTAATAAATACTTGTAATTGGAAGTATTTATTCGTGGACATTTTCAGTCGAGATCGAGAGATATTTTTGGAAAACATTTGGAACTCTTTTATATTCCTGATAGAAATCTTCAGTTTGCACACATTTAGTTCCCATGTGAATGGGACCGAAAGAAGAACTCTATCCGTGCATGAAGATATTCATAATTTACAAATTTTGTTATATTTGGGCAGTTATCAAAGGATTACCAAACGCAACCTAAGATTCACAAAGTAGTACCCGTCAAAATATATCTAGTAAACCAGATGAAATAGGATAATCTTCAAATGCATACTAAGAGAAGATGCCTTAAGTTATCAATTGCTTATTGACATTTACCAACATTACCAACATTTAAAAAAAACTACAAAGCATGTATAGTATACCTTCATAATTAAGTTATCCTTTCCTTTTATTCTAAGCAGTCAATAGCTCGTTTAATAAGTGGAAGGACAGTCCACCTCGATATGATGACGCCTTCATGAGGGGATTTTTATTCAAACTCACGGGCGGATGTGAAGCGCTCGATAACGGCCGAGGTTCTGCACGAATCCCTCGGTGAGCGCGCTGACAAACATTTATAAATCGAAGCAGACAAGTCGCAAAACACCCTTTTTACTTAAACCTGTGTCCCTGACGGACGCAAATAAATACGCCTGGTCTGCATCAGTGTAAATGTTTTGCGAGGGTGGGGTACTCTCTCTGACTTGTTGTCGTGGGAGGCTCTGACGTGCCGGCCGTATACCTGAACACAGCTACGCAGAGGAAGCAATTTGTGCCGATAGAGAATGGTATAAAGAAATCGCATTGGAGGGTTGTTTTCCGGCGAGTCTATAGTATACGCACCTTGAGTCGCGGTGCAAAACATCGGGCTATTTAAGCATGATCAAGCCTCTCGTCCATTTGACCTAATTTGATAAATCTTCTGGAAAAATACACAGCAGCTCATTTCAACCGCTGGTGTTCTTTGTGAGTCAAAGCGCCACAAAGGTTAAATGAAGAAGACGTCCCCACCACTGTGGAGAAAACAACCGGAAAGTTGATTTACTGCCAATGGCTTAAAACAACAAATATTTCTTTTCTTGTGTATGTTTCTTGGGAATGCGGCACCTTAAAGTTACTCCAGTGTTGTAATCATAAAACTGAAACGCCACTTTAGTTATCATCGCTGAATCTTGATGCTTCTTGTGATTGCGTGTAGTGTATGTATTAAAGTAAGAAAGGTGTATGTTATCACGTTACATTTCTCCTCGTGTCCCGACCTACTGACTGAATTTTTAAATTCAATTCAGTGTTCTATTATTCCCATTCTTCTGAGAGGAGAGGGGACAGATACCGAATTGATTGTATACCAATCTTTAAAATGAATAATAATTTCTTTACAAGTATGGACATTATCACCAGAATGATTTAGAAACATGGACTAGGTGCTGGCGGCTATTTTGTGTGTGTCCTGCCACTGAAAGAGCGACATTGTAGATAACTTCATCAATTTGTAAGACACAGACCACGCGCTCGTCCGAATCCAATCAAAGAACTCAGTTGATTTCATTATGTGTTGGAGAAGGCACACACAAAACAAGTTGAAGAACAGTAATGAATGATTAAATCTTACACAGGCCGGTTGGTCCCACCCATAACGATACATCGCAGTCTGCTAGTTAATTACACGTCAAACATGGCTGCAGCAAGCAACCTCATTCACACGCAGGTCATAATGACCCCAAAGGTTACAGACCAGTAAATAGACTGCCAGAGACCTCAGTGATAATAATTACGCGCACTTCCCAAAATTATTGAAAATACTCACAACTCTTCAAGGTGTTTGAAACACACATCAAATAAAAGGCCTATTTCCTTCATTTTTCGTTTGCCGTTAATTTTTTTGGGGTTATCCAATGAGTTTTGAGAGAAAATTCATTCATTTTATCACCCCTAAAAGCAGGCCTAAAGCCCACCGCCATTTTGAAAACGGACGTCTACGCTCCCTTGCAAAATAGAGCCTTTTATGGCCTAATTTCATCCATTTCACACCAATACGAGCTCGCAGTACTCTGCAAGGCTTCCGTCGTTTTACAATCCTCAAGTTTACGGCCCACATAATGCTCTAATATCGGAGAATTTGAGGGCATGTGAATTGTGATTTGGCCGGCGTATATAGGCAATTTCGGGCCTATTTAGTATTTACAGGTCTGCACCCCAGAAGGGCCGTGTGTATTTTCCCATGAAACTTGGCGAGTTCTTATGGAGAGAAAGATGCACGGCGGTTGCCGATATCTTGCGGCAAAACACGTCCGCATAAAATGTGATGTAAGCGGTCGGCTACCCCTGTCCTCCAAGCGTCTAACCCACCGTTTACTAGCCTCACGTTCATGGCCCCACCAACTTTGGAAGGCTCTAGCAGATAGTGATCTCAACCAGTTAGCAAGGTTTCGCTCAAGTGCAAACTGCACCGTTCGCGCGCAGGCCAGGCCGTGCGCACAGATTAAATCTGGGACTTCACACCGCATGACTGTGCGACGGTGCAATGTGCGCAACGGTTCCCGAACCGCACTGATGTCATTGCCTGATTGCGAAAATCAGTCAATGAAAAACTCATCTATGGTCTGCGCTATCCTGGGGACTGTTTGCTGGAATTCTGGGCATTGTGAAAAGGGATCCAATTTGAATTTGTCGGGATTTATGGTGTTCAAATAAACCAGTGTCTTGATGATTTGGTCATTTCATTTCTCGAAGAGGGCTCTCTTTGAAATCGGTTTTAACGCATTTTGATTACTGTGTGTCTTACAAATCCATCTTCTCGGGTTGCTTTTGGTATACGCATTTTTTGCACCTTTAAAATCATGCGAAATATTGCAAATGAAATCATGTTAATTACGCACGCAGTAAATCCAACCTTCTATAAATAAAGTGCGGAGCGTTGAGGGATTTTGTAACCAAACAATAATGAAAGTTGACATTTCGATCGTAATGCAGAGGGGGGACAATTGTAACGGGGTCTGTGAGTGACGGTACTAAAGTTACCTGATGGGCTAGCCTGAGATACACCTTTACCACGTCGTGACGAAGCGACACCAAATGCAATAATTCAAGAGATGCAATCTTGTTAAAGTTGTTATCAAAATCGAGCGGTCCCATATCGGTTTACTCTATGTCCCCCCGGCGAAACCGTGTGATTACCGATAAAGAAAACAGACCCAGTTCTGTGAACTCCTCTCAACTTTGTCGAGATGCGAGCGGAACTTCCGGCGCTCTAATGTAATCGGTATTTTTTTTTACGGGGGGGGGGTGTTTCGGGGGAGAGAAGAGACAGGATAGTGCCGAGATTATCTCGCCACCAAAGTGATTGATGCAGTCTAAGACGCCAATCAGATTCAATTTAAGAGAGAAAATAATGATTGTTTCTGGGTCTAAAGCATTATCGTGAATTATGAAAAATATTTGGCTCCACAAGAACGTTATTTAGAAGAATTAGGAGAACAAAATATAAACGCAATTTATCGTATTACCAAATTCGTTTGAAGAAAACGTCATTACGGTAAAAACAATCAAAATAAGTCAATATATTGTTTACAGTCATATTGGCACACACGAAAATTTTATAAATCGGATAGTGAGGCAAAATTTAAAATTCACAAAACACACTCGATTTTTTTCAGTGAATACAAAATTTAAAAAAAAAATACAGCAGTCTGGCAAGACTTGAAACGTGAATATTTTTAATCTTGATCTAAATGCCTCCGCTCATACTTCCTGCACATCCAAAGCTCTTTCTCCACTTCACGCGATTTCTCCTTAAAACACGGCATTAACTACCTGTTATCTTGTCAAAATTGCTCTTTTCATTGTCGAGTACAATATTTCATCTACAAAAAAACATTACCTTAATGAAATCATCGCCCATCGGATCACTTTCAAGTACTCTTCATGTACTCAACAAGAGGACGAGCGAATGATACAGTCGTTAATTTATGCGAAACTTGAATCTTGATGTATGATGTGCGTCGATGTATATGGCCCGTATATGAATCTAAATTTACCTACCTGACCTCGAGAGAAGCTGTCAATTGTCATCTAGAGACAGGTGCTATAATTATGAAGCAGGTGGACTTGTGTCTATTTTAGCATTCGGGATATTTTAGTTTTATTTGTGAAGAACAATTTCAAGATCAATGTTTTCAAGACCCAATTTCCGCCGATTATACTGCATGCACTGCCTCATTGGAAGGTGCTGGTGGACATGGCAATCATAGCTTGTATGAAATGCAGCTGCTGTTGCTGTTGTCGTTACTGTCTCTGTTTCTTTCTGTGCTATTACAATCACTATACTAAGTTTTTGTTGTTGCTGGTTTACTGCTGATGCTGAATTAAGGCTGATGCTGCTGCATGCAGTTGCTGTTGCCGCTGTTGCTATACTTTCTCTGCCACTACCGCTTCATATGGTTGCCGATACTAATCTGCTGTTGTTGTTGCTGCTGCTGCTGCTTTACTGCTACCAAGACAGCAGGTACTACTGGGTGTACTTCCGCTGCTGCTGCTGCTGCTACTACTGTTGTTGTTGCTGCTGCTGTTGTTGTTGCTGCTGATATGGCAGTTGTTGCTGCTGCTATGGCAGTTGCTGCTGCTATGGCAGTTGTTGCTGCTGCTGTGACAGTTGTTGCTGCTGCTGTGGCAGTTGCTACTGAAATTAATGCTGCTGCAAATACTGCTGCTGATTCTGCTGTTACTACTTCAGCTACCGCTGCTGGTACCACATTGGCATTACAATTGCTTTGACATTACATTTCTGAATCCAGCTACCGATGCTGTTGCCGCTGCTGTTACTGATATTTCTACTGCTGCTTTTTACGCCTTTGCCACCATTAAAGCATCGTTGCTATTTGGGGCTGAGTCTGGCATTTTGATTTTTATTGATTGAATTTCGAAAAATCAGCGAAGGTGGCACAATGCTCGCCTTTTCATCACTCAAACGATGTTGCATGATACCCAAGTCTACCAACTTCACACGAATCTTGAATTTTCCTATCGTCCTTGGTCCGGACATCCATAAGCAGTTGTCGCAGTGTCTGATGCGTTAGGTAATTGAATCAGCTCCGCCTTTCATTGTCGGGATCACGAACGAATCAATGCAGATGTATGATTCCTGCTGTGTAAGCGAAAACGATAAAACATACTATCATGACACGTCCCGATTATATTGCAATTATTATTTTGATCCACCTCATTTTACGCTACTTTTTAAACAATGTCCCAAACTATAGTCTTTGGAGAGCAATAGCTTTTGGTCGTGCCTTTGTTTGGTTTCGAAATTCTGCGTGGTATTAATCCGCACGGCTCTAGAAGACATCGAAATCCAAGATACTTTTTTTTTCTCACGGCAGAACAACATTGCTCTTTCAGATCCAGTTACTTCACATGGGGTACTCCCAAAAATCTCTTAAGCTCTTTTTTTTTTGAACAAACTAAACTTTTGCATTCCACTTTTTGGTTCACACATGCAAGTGATCGTCGGCCACAAACATCAGTTGTCTCAAAGAGTTGTGTCTCATAAAAATTGTTTCAAAGTTGTTATAAATATTGTATGTAATACTTTTTTCTTTGTTTCGGTGAGCAATGTTGGATGTTAAGTTCATTTCGGTTATCACAGGCAGAGGGATGGGGCAGGATTCAGGGGCCAAAATTATAGCAACCGACGCGCGGGAAACAGTCGTAACGCGCATTAGGTAACGAGTCATTACAACTGCACTCGAGAGTGTCGAACAGAAAGCGCTCGTCCACGAGACACTGAGTGAAATTAAAAAGTCATGAGATCAGCCGCCGGATTGGCGGGTGGAGTGTGGATGAGCCGGCTCGTATAGCGGCAAAGAGGATTGTTTGAGTTTGTTGGAAAAGACTGCTCGACTGTGACATAGTCCTTGGTCGAGAAATGGTGTACATACTGAGAATGGATATGTAGGCTTGTCTGGCTTAGTGAAATGTTGTAGATTAGCCATCCTAAAAACGCAGATCAGTGTTATCATCTTCGAATTTCAAATTCGTCGATTTTGTCCGAATAAAAGGCCGGTGCCCGACTAGTTGTTCTTTAACAATTTGGATATTATTGCATATCGGTCATTTAGTCAAATTTTAATATTAGTTATTTGACTGCTTTCAGAGTCAATTTTGACAGTTTTTCTTTGGCTGCTTTTGTTTAACAACAGATGGATCACCGTAGCCTTATTAGAGTTTTGGGGACTGTTTCCAGCCTGTTTCACTCTATGTTCTCGTCCTGTATTTTTTAAAATTTTTATATCTAGGAATCTTTTGTTCTTTATATCGAAAAGAAAGCCCTCTCTGCATCCATTAATACGTGTTTGTTTGTTTATTTGAACGAGCCTGTATGGTAGAACGAATTAATGAGAGATTTAGCAAAAAAATAAGAACAAACCGAAACCTATGGGCCTCGGAATATTGTTTGACAATAACAAAGGATGTTCGTTGTATGGACCAATTTAAAAACAAAAGGACAAAACTGATGCGGGAATCGGTTGCTAGGCAACTCCCTCCAAAACGTTGGACCTGTTGCCACGTGCCGCCCTAATGGACCGTTGGCCGTCACTAGGATACGGAGAGAAAGATTTTTTATGGACCGCATTCGCCTGGAAAAATATTATCCAGCTGTATGGCATTCTGGCGAGGCAGATTGTCAAGCCCGCCGATTTTTTCCACCAATCACCCGAAAACAAAAAAGCTCTTCCTGCCCAGCGTTGGTGCCAGTGCCTGGTGTCACTTTCATTTGTCTTTAATTTGGGCCTTCATTAAGGCTCTTCGCTTCGTCGCCCTTGGGTGCTCCTTTTCAAAATTGCCTGCGTAAGGGGGGGGGGGTCGAATTGAGTTTGTATTGTTGCATAAGTAATAATCTACGACATGTTCGTCAGAATTACGATATAGTGATGCTGAATAATTTACCAGACGTCATGAGAGATGTCGTATATCTTCACTTAAGCTTATATTATTCTTGCAATCAGCTACAGACAAAACAGTTAATCATCTTTACTAATTCCTGTTTCGCGCGGTATTGTTTTCCTCATGCAATAAGGGCGTGGGTTTTGTTCTTTTCATACGTACACACGAGCAGACATGTTGCTATCATATCCACTAGGCCTGTAGGTTTATGAGGTATGTTCTGCAAAGCAACATAAGTTTGGTTTGTTTGAATGAGAGTGACTAGATGTAATGTAGCTTGTCGATTGTTTCTCGCACAAGATTTGCAACTGCTTGAGGTGGTTGAAATAGACCACGTGACTTGTGACGTAAGTTTGCCCCGCTGTTTGAGTGCGCATGTCCAAGATTCAACAGTTTTTAAAATTAGACTTTAAATTTAACTTAACCATTTTACGCCAAATCGCATGCATTGTAGACCGGCTACATATTTTACTTGGAATTTCGTTGTCTTTGTATGTTATTTTGTAAACGGTGGGGTTCTGACCCCGATTTTGTCCATTTCCCCAAATTTCACACCGTTAAACGTGTAGGCCTTAATTCATTTTCAACGTAAGGACAAAACATAGAGTAGGTTTTGTTCCTCACTGTGACTCTTTGGTTCACAACTTACATTCCTCTCACCCGTCTTTTCGGATCTGAACACACAATTTAGTCAAGGAGTTTGGCAGTGTCATGTGAATCATATCGATGTGGTGGCAGCGGTGGGATAAGATATAGCGCGCCGTGATTGTCCGGTTTCAACATACAGTTCTGCACAGTGTGTGTAATGTTCGGACAGCTTTCAGTTCCACTGCTGGGGCACTTACTGATGAACAGTGCGGAGACTGTAGTGAAGGATATTCAACTCACAGCTGACTCAAGAAGCGAATCTCAGCTGTTTCAATTGTAACATTCAAAAGCGTCAAATTACACTACATGAACAAAAAATAGATATTTCAGTCAAGAAAGATCACAAACAGTAATTGTACGCACGAGCGTACAATTTGCTCCCAGAAGCAACTGGAGCGCTTAAGTTTCGTTTTCGGTCCGTGCTGTTACATTTCATGCCACTTCGTTTCCGGACAGTCCTTTCTTCGCATCCATTTGGAGTTTTCTGTATTTGTCTCCATTCGTTCGCCATTCGATCCGTTTCCCCCCAAAAAACACCTGCAAAGTAAACCTTGTAAATCTGGCAGTATATACCATTGATGAATTGATCAGCAGAAGGCCCTCTGGGGGCGTGTGCGCGTGTAGGGAGGGAGCGCCCGGCCGAGCAATTTTAACGCCTACTACTTCTCGCCATTATTTCGTCCCCCCCGGATGTTTTCGGGCGATTGCAGGTCCGATAGACCAGCAGATCGCTCATTTAATTCCTGCAAAGCACACAAACCCAGAGCCAGGCAGGAACAATCATCCCAGAATGATCGTAAATGGGTTTGCGAGCGATCCATCATGTACTGTTCGCATTATAATCGTCGCGCGGCGTTAATGGAGTTCCCTTCAATTCCAATCTAATTGGCACTTAGTCGGCCATATTACCCACGACAAGGGTTTACGATTCTCCCCCCGAACAGATAGCGAGACTTCTACGAATCGAAAGGGACTAAAGTTAAGCAAACACCCAGTGGAGTTGCCTTGGTTATTTGGTATGAATTATAACTCGCCGGAGAATTTCAAACACATTTGTCTTCTTGCTTTACCTGTTTAATCGCGTAATGCATTCGTATCCATAATTAATTACAAAGAACGTCATGCTTGACGATCACGCGCTCGTTGGGGATCCGAATCCCCGTCCCCACACATTTATCTACATGGTCTACAACACGTTTGTAGCGCGTGAAATAAGATAATTACCGGTAGACAGTGGATGGAGCCATGAAAAAAAATACTTTGATGATGGATTGGTTCGATAATTGAAAGTGCTAATCAACAACGGACTATACGTAAAAGTTGGTAGACAAACTCTGCGACTGATCGCGTTTGCCAAACCTTATCCAACAGCTTTCTGTGAACTCCTTATTAGGGAACAAACTATACGCCTTAAGGAAAACGGCAAGTCAGTCTCTCGTATGTTGCTATTAAACTTCCTTTGTTCTCCTGTTCATTGGTGTTTTCCATGAACGAATCAACAATCATTTTATTAGTTGCGTTTTAGACCAAAGTCAGAAACATTTAGGTTCAGGAACCCCGACCCGTATCCCAACCATCAATAACCTCCACTCTATCACATTCTTCTGATATTTTTTTTGGTACCAACTAGGCTAAGCCCAAACAAGTTCTAGCTGCACATTTAGAGACATAAACTGTTTTGATTTGTGCCTGTGCAAAGTCGCGTTATAATAATCTCCGCAGCCAAATCCACAACGGCTGCCTTCCAGTTTTGTATAAACAAAGAACAATTAATGATGTTTCCGAATTCCAAACGTTGCTTCTTTACACGACGACAACCACAAAGAAAACAGACAAAATACGAAGAAACTTTGTTTATTTGTCCACCACGTGGCTGACTCTGTTTAAATTGCCCCGCTCGAACCTTGACTATTATTTGGGCTCAAATTACCCCCCAAAAATTAAAACATGTTTTCTTTCCCTCAAGACTTCCTTTCCTTACAACACATTTTTTGCCTCTTCAATCCATCAAACATGGAGCCATAACAGTCACAATGTCACCTGTCACGGCTATTTTTTTACATCAAGCGTGCAGTGCTAGCTTCTCATATTTTCCTTGACGCCCGCGTGTAAACCGCACAGGCTTTGCACATTCAGCACATTAAAGTTCAAAGC